ACGGAACCGCTTGCCAAAAAGACTTGGGGCGGGCCTCAAACGAGCTGCTTCTGCAGAGACCTCGCCGAGCTGGCAGTGGGGATCCCTTTCTTTGGGAGAAAACTTCAGCTTACCTTAGACTTTTGCTTTTCTTCAAGACGGAAGTTCTCGACCGTTCTCTTGTACTTGGAGGTTCATGGGTGTTAGAAGTGGGGTTATAAGTCCCCTAATATGGGTTATAAGTATAGTTACCCTACTTATAGCCCTACTTGTAACTACCCCTGAACCTCCAAGTAAGGCGGAAAAGAACCACGAAGTGCTCGGCATCCCCCTGCATTGCGACATGCAAGGACTTGTCAGCACAGTTTTACGGGGATGCTAGAACGCCATGCACCGAAACCCTAAACCCTAAACCCACCATAAAGCCAAGCACCTGAGGACCCGAACCTTGCGCATCGCATCAAACTGCTCTGCCTCGTGCCAGCACACATTAAGGTCTGTGGGACGATCACGGGAAGCCGAGGGTCTGCTGGGCTTTTTACAGTTTTGAAATGCTTCATCTAACACATGGGTAGGGCTCGGACACACTGCTAGTTCCTGGTTTCGCCCGCTTGCCGGTGTTGAAAGTTGGCATGCTCGAAAGATTCATGGGAGGAAGCATATGTGGGGTCGTGTTGAAGTCAACGTCTGTGGTATGAACCGTGGGGAAGTCTCCAGCCCGCACGATAAGAAAGAGGCAAGACCCCTGTCTAACAGGGCCAAACGTCGAGTGCCAGCTTGCAACTGTGGCCACGTGATCAGAGACACAGGCCAAGATGACATGTTTCTCGATTGTACATTGTCGGACAGATGACCAACAGCTTTACACGGTCAAACCGCAAAATGAAGCATACCGACTACACCCCATCATCCTGCGAAAATCCTAGCAGTACTCTTCTCCTAACCTTTTAACCCTAAACCCAACTCCTTACAGTACTCTTCTCGTAACCTTTCAGCCCTAAACCCAAAATCCTTACAGTACTCTTCTCCTAACCTTTTAACCCTGAACCCAAATCCTTACAGTACTCTTCTCCTAACCTTTTAGCCCTAAACCCAAATCCTTACAGTACTGTTCTCCTAACCTTTTAGCCCTAAACCCAAATCCTTTCAGTACTGTTCTCCTAACCTTTTAGCCCTAAACCGAAATCCTTACAGTACTCTTCTCCTAACCTTTTAGCACTAACCCCAAATCCTTACAGTACTTTTCTCCTAACCTTTTAGCCCTAAACCCAAATCCTTACAGTACTCTTTCGTAACCTTTTAGCCCTAACCCCAAATCCTTACAGTACTCTTCTCCTAACCTTTTAGCCCTAACCCCAAATCCTTACAGTACTCTTCTCCTAACCTTTTAGCCCTAAACCCAAATCCTTACAGTACTCTTCTCCTAACCTTTTAGCACTAACCCCAAATCCTTACAGTACTCTTCTCCTAACCTTTTAGCCCTAAAACCCAAATCCTGACAGTACTCTTTCGTAACCTTTTAGCCCTAACCCCAAATCCTTACAGTACTCTTCTCCTAACCTTTTAGCCCTAACCCCAAATCCTTACAGTACTCTTCTCCTAAACTTTTAACCCTAAACCCAAATCCTTACAGTACTCTTCTCCTAACCTTTTAGCCCTAAACCCAAATCCTTACAGTACTCTTCTCCTAACCTTTTATCCCTAACCCCAAATCCTTGCAATACTCTTCTCCTAACCTTTTAAGCCTAAACCCAAATCCTTACAGTACTCTTCTCCTAGCCTTTTAGCCCTATCCCCAAATCCTTACAGTACTCTTCTCCTAACCTTTTCGCCCTAAACCCAAATCCTTACAGTACTGTTCTCCTAACCTTTTAGCCCTGAACCCAAATCCTTACAGTACCCTTCTCCTTACCGATTAGCCCTAACCCCAAGTCCTTACAGTACTCTTCTCCTGGCCAAATAGCACTAACCCCGAATCCTTACAGTACTCTTCTCCTAACCTTTTAGCCCTAACCCCAAATCCTTACAGTACTCTTCTCCTAACCTTTTAACCCTAAACCCAAATCCTTACAGTACTCTTCTCCTAACCTTTTAGCACTAATCCCAAATCCTTACAATACTCCTCTCCTAGCCCTTTAACCCTAAACCCAAATCCTTACAGTACTCTTTCGTAACCTTTTAGCCCTAACCCCAAATCCTTACAGTACTCTTCTCCTAACCTTTTAGCCCTAACCCCAAATCCTTACAGTACTCTTCTCCTAACCTTTTAACCCTAAACCCAAATCCTTACAGCACTCTTCTCCTAACCTTTTAGCCCTAAACCCAAATCCTTACAGTACTGTTCTCCTAACCTTTTAGCCCTAACCCCAAATCCTTACAGTACTCTTCTCCTAAACTTTTAACCCTAAACCCAAATCCTTACAGTACTCTTCTCCTAACCTTTTAGCCCTAACCCCAAATCCTTACAGTACTCTTCTCCTTACCGATTAGCCCTAAACCCAAATCCTTTCAGTACTGTTCTCCTAACCTTTTAGCCCTAAACCGAAATCCTTACAGTACTCTTCTCCTAACCTTTTAGCACTAACCCCAAATCCTTACAGTACTCTTCTCCTAACCTTTTAGCCCTAAACCCAAATCCTTACAGTACTCTTCTCCTAACGTTTTAGCCCTAAACCCAAATCCTTACAGCACTCGTCTCCTAACCTTTTAGCCCTAAAACCCAAATCCTTACAGTACTCCTCTCCTAACCTTTTAGCCCTAACCCCAAATCCTTACAGTACTCCTCTCCTCACCTTTTAGCCCTAACCCCGAATCCTTACAGTACTCTTCTCCTAACCTTTTAGCCCTAACCCCAAATCCTTACAGTACTCTTCTCCTAACCTTTTAACCCTAAACCCAAATCCTTACAGTACTCTTCTCCTAACCTTTTAGCACTAACCCCAAATCCTTACAATACTCCTCTCCTAGCCCTTTAACCCTAAGCCCAAACCCTTACAGTACTCCTCTCCTCACCTTTTTTAGCCCTAACCCCAAATCCTTACAGTACTCCTCTCCTAACTTTTTAAATTTCAAACAATTAGTTTAAAATTAAAACAATTCAGGGTGAAAGGAGGGACCCTTAATAAGGAATCTGTAGGTATATGCCCTTAATATAGCTATTCAATACCCATTACATAGCCCATTATAGGATTAAAAAGCCCTCTTTGGAGCGCCTGCTCCTGCCGCAGTTTTCGGCCCAGGGAGTCCCGGTCCTCTTGGAGGCGTTTGTACCTGGGACGTTTTGCCCTGCCTTGGGGTTTAGGGTTTTCTTTGGGGTTTAGGGTTTGGGGTTTTAGGGTTTAGGGTTTAAGGCTTCATGGTTTTAGGGTTTCAGGGTTTAGGGTTTAAGGTTTCAGGGTTTCAAGGTTTAGGGTTTCAGGGGTGAGGGTTTAGGGTTTAGGATGGGTTTAGGGCACTAGGGTTTATGAGGGTTAAGGGGTTTTAGGGCCTAGGGCACCATTAACTTTGCCCTAGTTGTTGAGCCAAACGCAGCTCAATGCGTCGTTTTCCGTCGTCTGGAGTACGTGAGCTTCCTCTGCTGGGTACATATGCCTCTGACTCCTTTTCTCACACCCCTTCGGTTCCCACTGCATCACAGCCTTCTGCGCGGATTTGTGGTTTCTTCGCTGTCGAAACGATGGCATGTTTTAGTTTTGAGGATTCTAGGCCTGCCGTCTTGGATGATCGAAGGTCTCTTCGGAGCTAAATTGAAAGGCTGCGGCTGTAAGTTTTGAGAGTTTTGAGGGTCTGGGCTTTACCATTTGCAGGGTCCGAACTTCAGGACAGAGGGCAAATCCGCCTGCGTCTAAGTTTATTGTGGTTCAGGGGTGATGTTCAAAGGAGGTTTCCGTATGTACCACTGCAGGTGATGCATCGGCATGCAGCGGAAGCGCTCAAAACACCAAATGCCTCCTCCAAACAGTGAGCTCTCACGTAGCCTGAACGCATCGAAGCCCAAACTGAAAAGTGCTTCTGAAACGGCAGCTCGACAGTCAGTGCTCAGAGCTCAGGAACTGCACGCTCCCATCTACTTTCAGTTCGAATGCCTTCAGGCACGTGAATTCTAAGCCGACGTCGCCCGGGGGCGCAGTTCTTGGAGAGACTCATGCAGCCGGCGCAAGGTGATGTTGTCGTCCTCCGAAGGGCTTTGGGCGCAGGTGCATAGTTTAGGCCCCGAGGTCCAGGGCTTCGATACTTGGGAAAACTGAGTCGGAGCTTCTGGTCCGGCTGGGTGGATTTTCCGGGCTCTTAACGCTAGCCATCCTGAAGTGTGAAACCAAAATCCAATCATCTTAGCCCCCACGCCCCCAGAGACTAAAGCCGGCATGATCCATGGCAAGTTGACACTAAACCCGAAAGCAACAACCCTCCCCAACCCCCATGCGCCCAATATTTCTGACACCCGTCAGAGTGCCATCTCTACCTGGCGGCTTCTGAGTTTTGGCCCGACTTCAAACGGTTTAGGGTTTAGGGTTTCCTTTTTTAGGGTTTAGGGTTTAGGGTTTCCTTTTTAGGGTTTAGGGTTTGGGGTTTAAACCAAAGACCTGAAACAGAATCGGATCCGGGATTGGAGATTCGAGGTTCAGAAACGTCGTGGGGCCCCCCGGTCTCTCGCAGCTTCGTAGTTAACTGCCGAAAACCTTGTCCTCTCTTAGGGTTTAGGGTTTAGGGTTTAGGGTTTAGGGTTTAGGGTTTAGGGTTTAGGGTGCAGCTGGGGATGGAAGTTCTGGCTCAAGCTCTTCCGGAAGTGCAATGCAAGTTTCAGAAGCCACCACGGTGAAACGATTGGCCCTCAACAGCGCACCGGCTTGCTTGACAGTTCTTTGGCCAATGGAATGCTGCTTCCCACTGTGACTTGTGAGGGTGAGGAACGATAGAAAGTAGATACCTCTTGTCGCTTTCGGGTGTCTAAGCTGTCTAAGGTGTCTGAGCGGCTTGTGAAAGAGTTGTCGAATCCTACATCGCCCAATCGAAGACGACTGTCAGCCCTGAGTCGGAGCTCGCTCAGGTTCGCCGGGAGGCCACATCTGGCGAGGAGTGCTGCAACCCCCTTCCCCATCCAAGGACAAAAGGAGGGACCCTTAACAGGGGCCCAGGTATATAACCTGAATATAGCTATTATATACCCATGAGTTGGGATCCCTATTAAGGGTCCCTCCTTTTGCCCTTTGACCCCAGCATCAAAGCATCTGCAGACTACAAGAAGTCGTGAACCACAGTCACATGCGTGGCCTCGCCATTCATGGGCTGCCAGAGTCGCTTCCGCACGCGAAGCTCCTTGCATCTGCTGCAGTACCAGACTCCAATAGCCCTTAATTGAGGAGTACACCGTAAATCATATTTGGGATCCCACTATAATTTAAGGAATATTTCCTCAATTAAGGGATAATGGAGTCTCTGGGTACTGCTCGTTAGCTCGCACGAGATTCGATGCGTGCATTGTCATGGGCCTCTAGCACTGTCAAGTACTCTGGGAGGGACTGCAACAGCTAAGCTTGACGGAGAGTGCCAAGCCGTACCGAGAACTGGATCAACAAAGGATTCCATGAAGACTTTGCCAAGAGAAGTACGAGCCTCGACGAGAGAGAGAGAGAGAGAGCGAGAGACAAGACGGCTGCTGAAAGGGAGTAGTAGGGTAAAACTCTTGGGTTCTTATGTTCGGTGTAGAGGGGGGGGTAGATCGCTGCGCGTAGGATCCTATCGCTCTTCGGTTCTTGAAAAAATTCACGGTTGGGACTGTAACCCATGTGACAGGGACCAAAAGCCAGAACCCGTGACGGCTTGCTCGGGCGTGCCTCCTCGAGGCCCTGCACCATCTTCTCCAGGGCCTGGACCGAACGGCGTCGAAAGAAAACCCGAACGGAGACCCTAAAAGCGAGATCCCATAAGTCCCCTGAACCCTAAACTCTAAACTCTAAACCCTGAACCCTAAAAAGGCCCTACAAGAGAGATCCAATGAGTCCCGCTTAAGTCAGCGTGCTGTGTCGACGGTGTAGGCGCCACCAAAAGGCTTCCAGAGCTCGTAGATGACCTGGAGCGTCATGACCTCAGTGGGGTTATGGGTACCTTAAGTAGCGCTCTGAGCAGATATGTTACCTTACTTATAACTTATAACCCTACTTACTAGGATTTGTGGGGTTTTGTTGGATTGACAGGCCTTCTCAGGCAGAAAACACAAGCCTGTAGTTTTGCAAGGGCGCTATGTTCAGAACAAGGGGCAATGGCACCCGACATGGCGCCAAAGAACAAGGCCTGGATGGTCAAGATCCTCGGAAACAGACTGAGCGCACCTACGAACATAGAGCCCTCTGGCCACGGGCTGGCGTTTGGGGCTCGTTCTTCAGGGCTTGCGGATTTAGGGTTTAGGGGTTTAGGGTTTAGGGTTTAGGGTTTAGGGTTGCTTCTCAAGAAGCCCGGGATCCTTTCTATCATGCCAGGGCGCTTCTCATCCGGGGACATAGAGTAGGTCCCTGCCCCCAACAGAGGGAATGCCATCAGCTCAAGGATGCCCAAGACGTAGAGGAGCCTGATTTGGATATTATAACATTGCATATTACATATATAACCACATTGTATATATTGTATATTACAGTATTATATATTATATTATACTATATTATATTATATATATATATATATATATAGACATATATATATATATATAGATAGGCTTCAGGAGCCGGAGTTCGAGTGTGAGGGCCTCGCTCAGTCTCCAAGCCCAAGGTCTGCGGCAGAGTCGCACGAAATGGATGGCAGGCAGCTTCCTGCGAACACGGATCGGAACAAAGATCTGAGTCCAACATCTTCGCGGGATTTACCTAGGATTCTGAGCATAAAGTTCCAGCTAAGCTGACGATACCCAAACCTCACTAACAGAGTTGCTGAGCTTCTGAGATTCCGAGCGTGCGAGTTTGGCAATGCCATATCTAGTGTGCTGAAAAGCGGCAGTCGTAACAAGTCACCATCCAAGAGCTTTGCTGTTCAACCTCGCAGCACCTGCTTTCTCCCTCCGAATGGTCCCCACCAATACATTACCTTAAGGAGCCTAAACTATGGGAATATGGTGAATTCCCTATTACAGGAAATCATGAACCGTCGGCTTCTAAATAGGGCTTCTCCTCCAAATGCAGCTGCTAACTGCTTCCCTGAACCGGATGAGTCCCTCGAGCCTCTGCATCGCTCCCAATCGCTGGCCTCTTGCCTCGGCTTTGGCTGGGAAAGGTCTTAACTTACTTAGGCCCCTAGAGATTCTTAAGGAGGGTCTAGGGTTTAGGGTACCTTAGTTGCTGAGTTCATAAGCCCCCAAAAGTGTACACTTTCAGTTTTATAGTGGGCAGTATTATCCCAAAAAGTGCAAGGCGCATCCGCTCAGCTACTTAACTTATCTCCCGTCTTGCAACTTGCTCCGAAAGCAGAACTACGGAGCTCTGGGATAGAAGGACAGATTCTCTTGGATATTTCTTGGTCATTTTCCACTTTCGCCCTCCTTGAGACTCTGCCAATATATGCGCATGTTTGTATGAGAGTGCGTTTCTATGTGTAGGTCAAAAAGTGTCTGGTCGATGGACGGACGAACGAACGGACGAGTGGATGACAATTACACGGACGGCACAGACGGACGGCCGGACGGAGGAACGGACGCATGGATGAATGAATGTGTAGATGATGGATGGATGTAATGGAGACCCCACCCTACCCACCCCATCCCACCCCCCAACCATTTCGGTTCCCATGCCGCCCACAAACCTGTCTTCGGCACTGCCCCTGCCAGTCAGAGGTACCTGTCAAAACACAGTGGGCCAGCATCATGATCATCAGTCACACTACTAATCGCCCTCTGCGCGCCCGCGCTCATGCTTGCATGGCGCCGCTTCTGAAAGAGCTCCTAAACTGGGATATATTGCTAACGGTCAAGGCTCTCAGCTTTCTGGCCCCACCCCGACTTTTTCCACGTTCAAGCACTGCACCACTTGTGGAAAAAACGAACTCCTATCTTTGATACACAGGGCAGGTATGCTGCCAAATCCTTCAAACCCAGAAAGATGGAAGAAGGTAGATCTGACATGAAGCCCACTGCCATTCCGTTGCCCTCCAGCATCTACCTTAATACCTTAATCCGAAGCCCGAAAGCCTTCACCCCATCTCCCCCGAACATTCCAAGAACCCTAAACCCTAAACACCCCCCCACCCACCACAACGGGCTCGAGACCTGCCGTAGGTCCCGGATGGTGTCGTAGATAATGGACGGCACCTAAGTTTGGGTTTTGGGTTCTGGGTTTCAAGTTCGGGGTTTTGGGTTGAGGGTTCAGGTTTTCGGGCCAGTCATTCGTTCCGCTAGCTCTGGTACCCTTCTGCGTATTTGAAACCTCATGGGCACACGGCTTTCACTGACTTGGGGGCGCCAACTCAGTGCTTGGATGTAGGGGAGCTGAGGACGATCAAGACATCTCCCCAAAACAAGAAGTTCACCACCAAGCTGGTAAGTCAAATCAATTGATGATGTCTTGTGCCCTATCACCCACAATGGTCCCTTGAGTCAGAGACTATCTTCTGCATCCCAAGGCACACCGACCGAGGTTGCCTGAGCTCTGGAAACATTTGCCATGTGCTCAGTAGTACCAGTATGACGAATATCGCGGTACTACTAGTAACACTCCTCGTCCTCCTCCTGCTCCATCCTCCTCCCGCTGCGCCTCCTTCCTCCAGCTCCTCCTTCTCCAACAGGCACGAAAAACGTCCCTGCCTCGGAACATCACACCCAACAATCGCCCTTCCAACCCGAGGCCCTAAACCGCACGTGCCTGCCCCGAAGAAAACTCTCGACTTGACACTGCCTTCGGATGGCCTGCAGCCTGCACATGGAAGACCTTGCCGTAACTCCCGCCGACTGTGTAAAAGCCACGCCGTCTTCTTCTTCTAAACCCGAAACCCTAAACCCTAAACCCTCTCATTGCCTTACAGGTGAAGTTGGGTCAATGGAGCTCGGGGAGCTTGGATGCTGCCCAAGAGCGTAGAGGATGTACCTGAGGCTGTCTGAGATGTGGGTAGTTGTCAAAATTGGGGTCCCTTTTTGGGGTACCCTATATATTATATATGAGGTGCCGTATTCATAATCGGGGCCCAAAAAGGGACCATAATTTTGACAACCACCCATGTGCACAAACCTTGAGGGTGCACTTCGCTCACTGAAGTTTCTCTACGTGGAATCCCTCCGCTTCTACTTTTTGGTCCTGCCACGGCATCCACCGAGGCTTCTCTCATGAACCCAACATCCCCCTGACCTGCCAGCTTTTTTTCAAAACTGTACTATAGGGGTCTTAATAATTAGAATCCATTCTAGTATAAATACAACAAGAAACCTCCAAAACAGTGTAGGCAATTATTTGGCCCCCTATACTGCCAATTCTGTGCCAAGGGTCTCCAGGGGGTCATCCATGGGACGGTTGGCCAGAAGGTCGGCAGGCTCAACCTCGAATGTTCCAAGAACGCTTGGGGGGAAGCTTCGGCTTTCAAACTCTGCATCATGACGACGCTTTGCCCTTTCTGGATGCTTGGGTGGCAGTGATACACACAAAGCACCAAGGTTTCACAAACAAGTCTAGGCCGTCAGACGCATGTCGAAAAACTGTCGCCTCCCAGCTAGCCCAGTGACATCAAGGCGGCGCAGATCCGTCGAAACGTAGTCCTGGGTCCACTGAAACGGGCGCAGTAGGGCTTAGAGTTGAGGAGCACTTAACCCATGCTGGACTGGGTGCCGCATTCTACACGGATTCTCTAGGATCTCGAACACAGAGCCTTGTTGAGTCATACATTCTGCTGTCTTGGGAGGATCCCTCAGCGCCTAAAGTCGCACTGCTGCTGACTTAAATTCTCTGAGACGATTGTGCAAAACACCTACCAAACCCAAATATGTGCAAACCCTTCGGGGTTCATAGATGGCTGTGGCAGAGGTGGTGTAAGGTGAGCGCCATCCGAATCTTGTCAGCCTCTGGCCATCCCAGATGCAGCACCTACAATTCCAAGCTCCAAAACAGTTTCGCGCTTCGAAGCATGCCCCGGACCTCCCAGAGACTCCAATATCCCTTCTGTAAGGAATATGCCTTAAATTATAGTAGGACCCCTCTTATGGTTTCCAGGAATATTCCTTAATCAAGGAATATACCTTAAAATAGAGTAGGATCCCCAATATTGATATAAGGACTATTCCTTAATTAAAGGATATTGGAGTCTCTGGGCTCCATGAATGCGATCGAGCTGCGCCGATGCTGTCCTTAGCTGTCTCGGCTCGAGCTCATTACCGTTGGCTTCACAGCCACCCGCTACAGGGGGCACTCCTTAACACCAGTTTAGGGGTTTAGAGGCTTAGGGATTAGGGATTAGGGTTCAGGGGGGGTAAGGGATCCAGACACTTCCTTCATGAACCCTGTCTTTGTCTGTGCGGTTCTTAGTACAGAATGAGGGAATGGATTATGGAGACGATTATATTGGGGACTACATAGAGACTGCTACAGGGATCCATTCCCCCATTCCCTACTTAGCACCGGGGAGTTTACACCGCCCTCTGACAAGGGACCAGCAGCCACTTAAGGAGCCTTCCCAACTGTGAGGAGACTTTCTCTGCCGAGCATCCAGCATTTTGGGATAGAACGGCCTCGGGAGGACAGCAGGCAGCAGCGTATCCTTCTTCCAGATCCAGACTGCCCAGCTATCGAAGTTGACTGCTAGTAATGTTTAGAATCGGGTTTTGGGGTCCACTACTATACTATATTTAGGATTTGGAACCTCTCAAAATAGCATAGGTAATGATTAAGGCCATATAATGTTTTATCTGCCTGCCGAGATTCTAAACCTACGACCTAGGATCGCCTGGGCAAGTCGAGAGAACTTTCATGCCAGGAGGCCTGGGGTTTAGGGTTTAGGGTTTAGGGTTCAGGGGTTTAGGGTTTAGGGTTTAGGGTTTAGGGTTTCTGCTCCTCAAAACCGGTCAAAACTCTAAGAAAGGCTGGCTAACACATGTTCTGTGACATCTATGCATCCTGTAAGCTCTAACAGGCTCACCCGACGAACCCTTCAGACGAACCTTTCCTGCAACGCCAAACGCAACGCCCTCAGCAATCAACCCTACAAGAATTAGCCGTTGAGACAAGCTTTCATGACAAAAAACACTTTTAAGTAATTCCAAAAGAATGGAAAGAAGACCACAACCAAACCGAAAAAAGAAAAGAGCCCAAAGAAACGAAAAAAAAAAAAAAAGGCCGTGCCAGGTGGCCGCCCTTGGCAGACCAGGCAGGCCTGCTCCAGGAGGGACTTTGCCTCGGAAACCTGGAGGCAACGTGCAGGGGATCACTCTTATTGTTGTTATTATTAATGTATTAATTGTTATTATTGTTGTTATTAGTATTCTTATTGTTTTATTATTGTTACTATAATTAGTCTTATTGTAATTATTCTTGTGATTGTTATTGTTAATGCTTGTCTTATTGTTAGTAGTATTGCTATCAAATGTTGGTAGTATTACTATGGCGTCGCGAGGTTTAGAGCCCAGCTGCTGAATCTACTGTCTGCATGATTGCCCCGTACGGGTCTGCATGTAAGCGTGCAACCCCGATTCTTTCAACCAGGGTCGCTCTCTCGAGGGGGGCTGGAGGCTCCCGCTTCATGCTCAGCACGCAGCGTGCGACCTCTTACAATGTGCGGAAGATCGCGAGTATCCAGCCTCCGTGAACAACGCGTGAAACAAGACCTCTTGCTGGTTGTAGAGCGAATTGTAGGTATTACCTCAGACAGCTTGCCGGCTTCAGTGCGGAGGGCATGAAGGTCCGGTCAGAGCCTGGAACCAAGTCAAACGGAAGCGAAGGCAGAACTTTGCGAAGACGGCACATCAACCTACTTGAGCCAACCTTTTCCGAATCCTCCTGCCGAGCTATGCATGGACAAGGCACCACAAAGAATTGTGAACAAAAGACCATTGACGGTCCTTGGATGATGCATTGCATGCCACACTGATGCTAGCACAGGCAGCACCGTGAGATGTCTAGAGCTGCACAACATACTCGCTACCTTCTGTCACTTTCCTTTTCGATCGAGGCATTGCATCCATACATGCGAATCTGAAATTCTTCAGGGGCTCCTCAAAATTCTGCCTTTTATCATGTCGCATGCCGGGTCTTGAGATGTTGGAGCCGTATGTTAAGCTTGTGGAGTGCTGTTGTGGGTGGCAGCGGTGCCATCGGTGCGACCGGAAACTCGGGTCCTAATCTTTCAGGCTCCCGAGCTAGCACCACCAAACCGATCGTTCAGAAGCCTGTTGAACTAGTATTGCAGACTACTGTACTGTACCAGACTGGACAGACCACACCAAATGCCAGCACGCAACAATCCAAGCAATGAAAGATCTGGCCATGGAGTAGTGAGTAGTGGTCTGAACGTTTGTCAAACACGAAGAACCCAACGGAAAGACATATCAAACAACGATATTGACACGCCACGCATCACATCTGTATTTCCAGATCCAAGCGTCAGGAAGTTTTGCATGAACTGCGACTGGTCCATTGCCAGAAGCTGCCTGGTTCTGCAAGTGCGCTTGTACTTCCTGTCATTAACTTAGCCTGCAGTGCATAAAAACCCAGGGCACGGTACAGAATTGCAGTATTCCGATCTTCGTCCCACTCTCTTCAGTGTTCCTATCACAGCCTCCAAACCTCCTTGCCTTGCCTAACAGGCCAGCCTTTGAGGTCTAGTACGGATAGCCACCATCACCAGGAAAGCATGTGAGTGGTTGTCAAAATTAGGGTCCCTTTTTGGGTACCCTAAATATTAGGTGCCGTACTGAAATACGGACCCAAACATGGACCATAATTTTGACAGCCACTCATGTCGGCTCTGGGAGGTGACAGGGCGGGTCTCCCGAGATCAACACACACGGCCCACAGACTCGTGGCAAAGTATCACCTGCGTGTGGGTAGTTGTTGTTTTATGAGGGAGCCAGAAAGGGACCCTAATTTTTGAAAACCACCCACATCTGTATGAATGATTCTGCAACTTGTAGTGCAAAGGACGACTCAGAAACTTGCTCCAAGCCCGAAACTCCTCGAAGTCTGCTGGGGCTCGCGCAAGATGGGTCCTCTGCCGGTATTCCCAATGTCAAGCATATCCTGGCAGCTCTGACTCTGAGCTTTAAGGCCGGTTGGAACCTTGCTTCAGCCGTCTGAAAACTGGCGAAGGCTAACGATCAATCCGAGGGGAGCTCCTCAACAGCTGCATGGTCTGATTTGGGTTTGTGTTACACGCCGCTTCCCTCTTGGTCAATCGAGCGCAGTCGGAACCCACATTGTGACAGGGCACGGCCTGATTTGAGGTCTAGGGCTCTTATGAACCAAATCGGGATTAGGACTTCAAAGCTATTTTCCCTGAAGGCGTTCAATCGAAGGCAACATGCAGCTGCCTGGAGCCATCGGCAGAGGGGCTCGTAGATGGCGATACCGCCGAAAAGTGCCTGGAAGTGTGGTGCACGGGGTGTGTGCATGCGCGGGGCCGGGGCAGGGGGGCGGTGGAGGGCCGGAAATCCCGAAAGAAATTGCAGCACCCAGACGACTTCAAAATAAGAGACCCAGACAACAGATGCAAAGCTTTGAGGGTACCAGCTAACTTAGCTACGGCTCAACACTACTCGGCCATCGGACAAAGGCAAGACCTCCGAATTTCGTATTGAACGTATGGCACACGTGCTTCAAGTTGCAAAATCCAAAACTCGAAAAGACCTACCCCAAGCACTGCCCACAAACAAAACAAGGATTTCGGCACCTCCGCCACGCCGAACTGCTAGCTGTAGTCAAGACTGACTCTCAGCCGAGACACTCCCACTGTGGGGAGCACCACTCTCCAAACAGTTTGCAGCGTCAACGCATCCAGACCTGCTGCAACCACGGGTTTCAAGCTGGACAGGCTGTAAATGACAGCAACGGGCGCCCATTTTTCCGCTGACAGCGAGTGAGGTGAATCGGCTGCTGTAAACTTGTGAAGGGGCCGGAGACCAAGCAGCAAGCATGAGCGAAGAAGATCTGAAGCAACAATGCCCATCCCAAAACCCGCCAATGCCTGAAAAGCTTGTCAAAAGCCAAAACTTACTTTTGGTTAGTACGGAATGGAGGAATGGGGTACAATTATAATCACTATTACTACCATTCTTCCATTCCCTACTAACCAAAGGTAAGAAAAGCCAGACTGTGTTCTCCAAACCACATCGTCCCAACACCCTGGCTTGTGTTCCAGAATTGAGCAGAGCGGCCCAGGGTGTCTGCAGCACCTGCGGTACCGACCCTATACATGTACATATTACATATACATATACCTAGCTAGATATATATATATATATATATATATATATATACAGATGTACATATACATATCCATATACATATGCATATACATATACATGTGCAAATACGTGTACATATACCTGTACATCTACATAATGTGCCAATATGCATGTATGTACATATGTATACACGAATGCAAAGGGATGAGAACGTGTATACACGATAAGTAAGAATTAATATACCCGATTGTCCATCCATGTATATGTGCCTTCTTACACGTTTGCTTCTACACAGTCTGTTTTTTATGTTGCTCATCCTACTTGGCTCTCGTCTGAAGTGTTCATGCATATGAGGTCTGGGCATCAGTAAAGTAGGCTTCTGCCGCTTTCGGGGGGATCGCGGAGCCTGCAATCATAGGGATCCTTAGGGGTGTAGGGGGAGGGGGGGTAGGGGGCCTTAAGGCCCATAATAAGGACTAATAAGGCCTATTGAAGGAAATATAGTCCCCTACACCCCTCCCCCCTACACCCCTAAGGATCCCTATGATGCAAGTACTCTTGAAGATATTCGGCCCCAGCCGTCGAAGAACGGCCGAAAGGTTCAGCGTTGAGGGCTCCGGTGTCGGATTCAGGGTCAGGCCTTAATATGGGGCCTCAATCATCACCTCTGCTATTTTGGGGGCTCCTTATTTTAATGATAGTGAGAGTTGGCTGAACCCCCCCCCCTTTTTTTGCGAGGCCATGGACCATCTTGCAGCTCCAAAAAAGAGAAACAACTGCTGCCCTTGCTGCCAATGCGAAACCCACCCGGTGAACCCTAACCCCTAAACCCTAAACCTAAGGTCTGAGGTCTCGAACCGCCACAAAGACCGAAATCCGCCAAAATCTCGGGGCACTGAACGGCCGCTGCAATGGCCGGCGGCGCCGCCGGCTGCGTCGTTCGGGGACCAAGGAAGGCCAGGTGGGACCTCGATGTCAGCTTCATAGCAATATAAAAATACAGAACCGGACGCATTGCAGGCCCATTGTCACAGTGTCTGGTTTATACCATAAACTCATATTCTATCACATAGATGATCAAATACGACTTTTAATCAAAATGAAAATAAAATACAACATAATACGATAGAATACAATACAATATAACACAATACAATACAGCTCAACATAACGTAATATAATACGACATGATGAAATATAATGCAATGTAATACAATTTGATAATATCTAGTGACAATAGGAAAATATCCATTAAAAGATCTCGGGGCTGGAGGCTCAAGCTCAGAAGGATAGGCTAGGATTTGGACTTGGGAATGGTGGTTTCCCATCGCGCCATGGAGGCTCAGAATACTCAGAGCTTGCTTGGGGGGGCCTGCGGGAAGAAACTGGGTGGATGTCAGGGTCGAGGCGCGATGCCTGAAACCTGTGAAGTGTTCCCAACTGGTCAGACTCCCTGAAAGTGGAAAGCCACAGCGAATTCAAGCCAAGCCATAAAGGCCAAACTCTGAACTATAAACCCCAACCAACAAGCCCCAAACCCAGGCCAACCACATGGGATACCTGGGGCCCGTTCCGCCAGGGCCCCAATCTGCGGTCCAGCTGCCTGGCAGGTATGAGGGGCTGGCATCTCATGGAGGTTTGAACAGCACACACTATCATGGTTGAGGCTCTCACGAGAAACCTGACAAGCATGGTCTTCCAATAGCTATGGCCAAGCTGGGCGGAGGAAAGGAACAAGCCACGTCAGCCTTGCTTCCCGACAGCGCTAAGCTCTTGCGACATCAGCCTCTCCATCTACACTGCTGCATTGCATCATCTTCAAGCCTCCTGTCCAATCTCGAACCCTGACCAAAAGCCCCTCGATTGCTCAAGCACCCTTGCAACCCAGAGAGGCCTAATGGCCTAATAAAGTCTGCTCAAGATAACTCTCGTCCTTCGTCCTGCTAAAGCATCGTCGAACGTTCATACATAGGGGCCGAAAAAATTCGAGCAGGGTTTGGGACATACTATACTCTACTGTATTTTTCGGAGACCCCAAAATAGCATTGGTAACTATTTCGGAACTTACAATACCCTGCAGACATCCCGGAGGGCTCCTTCGGACCACACCCGCGACACCTCCAGTAACCTGGGCTTGGCAAACGAAGATGTGCAGATCAGGGTGGGGGGTTCCAGCTTCAAGAAAGCACCTACCAGACCACCACCGCCACCACCACTACCAGCACCACCACAAGAGACAACAAGCGCCAGCGCCAGTGCCAGTGCCAGCAACAGCACCAGCACCAGCAGAACAGCTGAGGGGGATGGAACGGATGCCAGAGGCACTGCCTGCTGTATGGCCTCCAGCGGCGTGGGCTGTACCATCCAGGACTTCCTTGCCCTGCGAACAACCCGGACATGGGCACCAAATTGGAGGACGCAATCAGTCTCGTATATGACTGTGGTGCGGCTGCGTTCCCTGCCCGTCGCCCTGTGGTCGTGGTCGGCTTGGGGCTTTGGTGTGGGATTTGTCCTTCTTCAGTGTGGGGGGCAAGGGTGCGGTGCAGGCGAGCTTAATGCGACAAACGCCCAGAGAGTTTTCGACAATGGCCAAAATAGTCGAGGATGGGGCCGCGGACGAGGGCCATCCCAGTGACCGTATACACATGTGTGCACCGTTGCGGTGGGGCATGCCATCGGGGTGGAGGTGGTTAGCGGCCGGCAGTGCTGTACCATGCGTGACAGGCAATCACCCGCAGAGAACCGATGGATGCACCATCATCAGTAGCACAATCTGACAGAGCACCGCGTTTTCAGATTCATGTGAAACACTCCCTGCAGTGTTCCCAGTGTTGGCCTTAGTGCTTTGGCACCAGCGCAGACTCCGGATCCCACACTGACGCTCGAAAAACGATACCGCAGCTTGAACTCTGACTCTGAGCCATGGACAAAGGAGCCGTGCAAACCACCATTATTGGTATTATTTTACTATTACTACGAGTTTAATACTACTGCTGTTACTACTGTTGTTACTGAAATTACGATTATTCTGAGTCTTATGATTAGCAGATCCTTGCCTTAGGCTCCAACTCTGACTCATCAGCGAGGCGTTCGGTACGCTGCTCCTGGGCACTGGTGGACGCGCGAATGAGGGTTCTCGCAAGTTTGCTTAAAACTGAAAAAATGGGGGACCCTAATATGGTACCCCAAATAGTAGGACCCTTATTATGAGGACCCCAAAATGAGGTGGAGAGTGGCTAGGCTCAGAACAACGGTACCTACCGGTACACAGGCCGAAGGCTAGAAGCCAGTTGCGAAGGGTGTGCATGCAAAGAAGGCTGGTCTGCTTCCGCTGCTCTCATGGCCATGGTGTTTAATCCTCGTCTCAACAGAAAGTGCAAGGGTAAAAGGAGGGATCCTGAATAAGGACCCCTAGGTATATACCCTTAATATAGCAATTATATACCCATTATATGGCCCATTACAGGGTAGGGGTCCCCATTAAGGGTCCCACCTTTTCCTCTTTGAGAAAGAGTCTTCAATTGGCACAACACCCTGAAGCCCACAATCCGGTGAATGGGGCCTCTCTTCTCCCTAACCGAAGTGTCTCAGCAGAAAGAACTGCAACTACAACTCAGACTTCAAGAAGCAAGGAGTCGGGTTCTTCCGAGACCTCCCGTCGGCTAAGTGAACTCTAAACCCTTGGGGTTTAGCGTTTAGGGTTTGAGGCGTATGGTGCTTGGAGCTCTTGCCCTTGGCATTTATTTTGCGCTGCAGCCCTCTCCCCTAAACTCCAACCCAGAATCTTCAAGCCTAAACACCTTCAACTCCTACCAAAAATCCCAAAGCCCTAAAACGCAACCTTGAGCTTCACCGGGGCTCCTCGATCTCCTCACAAACCTCGGACCCCTCGTCACAACGAGGCGGTTCCATGCGGGTCTCTGCCGACAGCGCCTCAGTCACTCCAGTACTGCTTGGGGTTCATTGCTATGTCTACTCATACTAACCATGACATATGTGGGAACCTATAACCCCAATATATATTAGGACTCATATCAGGAACCCTAATAAAACCCAGGGCTTCTTAGTCAGGTTCCTATATTCACGCTTGGGGCTCATGGGTTTTCTAGGGTTTGGCTTCGGGGAGATGCAGGTGTCGGACCTCAGGGTTTTAAGAGGGTTGGGCTACGGGGAGTTGAGGCTAAACTTTTTTTTTGAAGGCCCTTTTCCTCCCTGCTCCAGTCGGAATACCTATTGGGCTAAACCGTTTAGGGTTTAGGGTTTACGTCGACATGATACAACACCCGATCGAAGGCTGAGGGATTGAACTGGAAGCACTAGCTTGGGTAAAGCCGTTCGGCCATGCTTCAATCGAGCTGCTACGATTCTACAGCCGTCTGAAAGGCTTACCCTCCGCGCCTCGAGTTGTGCCTGGTCTCATTTAATGCTACACTATACTTGACTGTACTATAGATACCATATTATACTATACTATACTACAAGGCGAAGGCTACCGTAAACCCAACGGGGCAGCAGAGGAAAGGCAGGGTCAGCCCGGATGCATAATAAGAAAACACAATAGTATCAATAGTAATAACAATAAGAATAACGATCAGGATAATAGTTATTAGCATGACGATGAACATAATAACAATAAGAAGAAGAACACCACTGAAAATGATGATGATAATGATAACAACGATAATACTAAAAATAATACTGTATTACTGATGATAAGAGTAATAACAATAGCGAATAATGACGATAATAGTGAATAGTGGTAACAACAACAACAACAATCACAATAAAAAGCAAGAATAGCAAGAATACCGATAAAAGTAAAAAGGAAAAAGACAACGACAACAACAACAAGAACTGTGTAAAAAGCAGTAGTAATTATGAGTATCAGCATAACAATCATAATAATCATAGTGATGACAATAATGATGACGCTTTAGACTTTAGACTGTAAGCCTCATGCATGGCTGCATGGCATCGGGTCCCTGAACCTGCAACCGTAGACCCGGAAGCTGGGGCGACGGTGGTTTCTGTCGAAGGTCCAGGAAGCGAAGCAGCATCGAATCTAAAGGGGAGGGCCACTTGCAATCGAATGTGAAAGGCCTGACGTCCACTGAAAACCACGAATCCCCCAGCGGCTCTCTACGAAACGCTATATCACGTACGCTGGGCTTCTTTGAGCCTTAAGCGCAGCATCGTCCCACTGGGCTCGAGGAGTCTTGGCCAAGCACCAGTGAGGTGAGACACAAATTAACCATCAAGATTCCACAAGCATCGGCTTGTTCTGAAGGCAGCCCGAGTCGTGACGTGAACCACTGATCCCTCAAGCTTACCTTCACCAGCTTCAGGTGTCCTGACGCCCTGGATGCCTCGAAACCTCAAGCAGCCCGACCTACTCACAGCAGGATCGGCGTGTCAGGGGCGCAAAGGCCACCGTCACAGCCGCTCTGCCCGATTGAGTAGCATCCCTGCTCCAGCGGTCTCTAGGAGTCAGGATCTGAAGGCTTGGAAGCTGTAAAGAACTTGGTGCTAATAATCGCAGTCAGGGAAGGTAATGGTTGCGATAGTGATGGTCATAATCATAGATCATAACCACAATCATAAACACGATCTAATCTATAGTCACAGTCACAACAAATAGTTGTAAGAGTAATAGTAAGCATCATAATTGCGGCCATAAGATTCGTCATATTCAAGACAACATTAACGGTAACAGGTATTGAAGATTAGATCCAAAGATAAGACGTATTTTGCATGTAGTTCTTCTTGTAATGACGACAACAATAAGGTTACTTACAAATATAATAATCAACAATGGTCATGGTAACAACAAGTACATCGTTTTCACCACCACAATCACACTCATTAGTTGAATCGCGATAATAGCTGCGGTAGTTACCACTCCCCGTATTTATATACTCATGGTCATATTGATCCAGACAACAACCACACTACGAACAAAGATGATAGCCAACAATCGCGGTGAAGATAACATCAATGATGGGTGTCACATCTATGAGTACTGATAGCCGATAGCCATGCTATTGTTGAGACTTTTCCGTTACCTCCTGCTCGTTCTCCTCATACTGTTTTCTGCTGCTGTGGCTAATGCTGCAAAACCTACTAATGCTGCTCTTGCTGTTACTGCTGCTACTTGCTGCAGCAGCGCCAGCTACTCTGCTAAGGCTGCTGCTTTGTTGCTTCTGCTATTGATGCATCAGCAGCTGATGCTGCTGATGGTGCTGCTGGAGCAGCTGCCATTACTTCTCCTCCTTTAGAGATTCCAGCCCTGAATCTCAGTGCCCACATGCAACGATTAGGACCATGTCGTGCGTGTTCGTGGAGATTTTGGACCGAGATTCCAGCCTGGTCTGAGGGGCAGAAGTGGCTGGAAGGGCAGCTCGTGCAGCATGGATTTGCTCCCGGTAGTGGGCAACCAGATGCACCTGAGTCACGTGTACATGCCGACAGTGTGGATTCTGTCCGCGAAAACTCGCTTTGGGCACGTCGCTTACCTAAGCGGCACTGTGGACACTGGGGACGATCGTCCGAAAAATCCAAAAGCCCGGCTTCTCAAAGTGAGAAGGCAGGCCACGAACGCTGTCATCCGCTGCAATTGTCTCGGACGCAGGAGTAAGGAGAGGGACCGGTGCTGCCACTGGAGCCGCTGGCTCTGGGACAGAGTTGGAGGTGCTATTTTCCAGGGAGAGGTGCATCTTCAGGAACTGATGGTCAGAGGGGAAGCCCTCTGTACTCGAGTATCCGCACAGATTGACCCCCGGGCTCACTAATACATGGTCGGCCCCGTTGAAAGACTGGTCCGTGGCGGCATTGAAGAGGCCTTGCCCAAGCGTCATCATCGTCTCGTCCATACTGCCACAGTTAAAGTCGCCGGTGAAAACCACTTTATCCTCAAGCTGCTTGTGCTTGTCGATGGCCGCTTGGTAGTTGGTAGCAGCCTTGGAACCTGCATCGCCCCCGCACTGGTCCAAGGGGCCATGTGTGTTCGCAAAGAAGATGGACGTGTTCGTAGCCTTCTCTCTCAGCCGCACCCAATTCATGAGCCTGTCACCCCACTTGTCCTGCACCACAGAATTATGAATAACCCTCCCCGAACAGATGTACTCGATTCCACTATTACCCAGTGCAGGTAGCGAAGACGGGAACTAGCAGGACCAAGATGGGCAGCTTCAGGCTTCAGTTTAGAGTTTACATTTCTCAATCGTGGATTCTGGCTTCCAGAACTTAGGACTATTTAGGGTCTACAGCTCTCGACTTGCAGAACATAGGGTCTAGGGTCTAGGGCTTTAGGACGTTGAGTTAGAGCTTCGAAACCCTAAACCCTAAACCCTACAAAACTTAGAAAATCCTAAAACCCTATACCCTCAAAACACTAAAAAGCCGCCAAAAACCCTAAAACCCCGAATACCAATACTAATACTAGTACTAATACTAGTATTAATACTAATACTTATTCCTTTCTGTTCACCTCCGGCCTTGGCGATCCACTCACTCCCCGGGCCCCCGATCTTCTGAAAGCGCTCGGTGCTCCAAACCATCGGGGCGTCACTTCCTGGAAGGTTGAGGGCTTCGGGTTCAGGGGTTTAGGGTTTGGGGGTCCAGGGTTTTAGGGGTTTAGAAATTTAGGGACTTAGGGTTTAGGGGGTTTAGGGGTTTAGGGTTTAGGGGTTTAGGGGTTTAGGGGTTTAGGGGTCTTAGGGGCTTTGGGGTTCAGGGAAGTAGGGGTTTAGGGGTTTAGGGGTCTTAGGGGTTCAGGGGTTCAGGGGTTTTTAGGGGTTTAGAGCTTCGGTTTAGGCTACCTTGGCCTTCAGGGGTTCAAGGGTGTGGGGCTCAGCGCCTCTAGGGTTCAGGGTTTAGGGGACCTCGGGGTTTTCGGCCTCCACTTGCCAAGCTGGAACCCGAAATTTTTTGAAATCTCTGGCGCACTCGTTGTGAGGCGGGGTCCTTTAGGCGCGAAGTAGTCGAAGGCCTGGAGGTTGGCTCCCTGCAGAACCTGCTCCACATCATCCTCAGCTCAGGACAGGTCTGCTCTTCTTCGAGGCTGGATCAAGGGTTGGCTTAATTTCAGGCGATTTTTGAGGCGTGCACAAGCCCGAATCCGTTATTTTCGCGTTCGCAGCCCCTCGCGGCTGGCAACAACTGGTTCTGCTTGACTCGGCATCTGTGCATGTTCGACCTATTAATATTCATGATTGGTATTAGTGTGATTATTGCTACAATTCTTGTTATTATTTTTATTGCTACTACGGTTGATGATATAAATCCTGCATTGCCCATAATAAGGAATATACCATAATTCCCATAGTTTAGGGTCCTTAAGGTAATGCAGGATTTATATCATCAACCGCAATAATATTGCTCATCTTCCCCAACCGTGGGTCAACTACCAACGCGAAGGCTGCCGAAGTTCACCGCCGGTCAGGGCTTGGGGCTCCGGGCGGGGCTCTAGGCTTCTCGGCTCGGAAGGACATCCCTTTAAAGAGATCCTTTAAGGGTTCCTGAAAGGGATCTATAAGGGTATAAAGGGTTTAGGGTTTAGGGTTTGGGAGATTTCCGATAATACGGGATACCTTATTTTGGCGTCCTTATAATAGGGATCCTACTATTCAGGGTGCTATCTTGGGGTCCCCTATTTTCGGAAACTCCCTTATAGTTGGGGGGCAAGCGACGCACTCTTGGAAGCCTGCCAGATCGAAAGGAGCATTGTCTGCGATGGTCTTGTACCTGAAAAGTCAGCGGTCAGCAATAGCCCCCCACACCCGAACAGGGGCCCCAATGCCATTAGTGCCCTATTCTCCTGTTCTATTTCCTGTCGAGTCGTATCCAACTTCCTAATATCCGAAACACAGCTCATCCTGCTTAAGTCTTCGAGCGGAATTGAACTACCATCGTGCAACCCAGGATCCTAGATCATGAGGACCCTACAGCTTTTTGCAAGCCCTCACACAGGGCTTCGATGCTCTGAGCGGCCAAGCCACAGCTCCTTGAAACCTTGACCACCACCAAACTGATGGCAATTGTGCCATTCCTTGGAAAGTGGAGTGCAAGGGCATTGAGGGGTCTGGGGTTTACAGATGCTGGGCAGTGGGGTCCGGCCTCTGGAAATTACGGGTTCAGGGTCGTTCCGCCTTTGTTGCCCATGTTCATGTCTCTGTGCTTCTATGGTTCTATACACCTATGCCCTATGCATGTATGCATGTATGCATGCATGCATGCAGGTCGGTAGGCAGGTAGGTGGGCAGGCAGGCAGGCAGGTAAGTGGGTATGCAGGTATGCATGTGTGAAAGTATGCATGTATGCATGTAAGCACGTGTGCAAGTAAGCATGCCTCATGGATGAGCATCACCTGCAGCGACACAAACCTTCAACCTATCGGCATAGCCAGGTGCATAATCACATACACAAAGACAGGCAGAGTCCACACACCTGTGCACTCTGTCAGACCATTTGTTCTATAGTTTTGGTCGCTTTACTCAACTGCCACTTCTCTAAAGTAACATCGTGACATCAAGCAGGCTGCGCCGAATGGCCCTACGGTTCGTCCCTAATAACGCGAATCGGCCCTACAAGATCGGCGGATAAGGTAAGACCGCATTCGTTGTCTACACGACAACTTCGACTCATCTCTACCAGCTTTGCTTACTGTAACAGCGTCAAAGACACCTTACGCTTACTGAGTATGTAGTGGATGTGATGTATGTACTGGATTCAATCTACGCAATGCATGTTAATACGGTCCTGTAGCACATGCTGAATAGCATTTACTGTGTGCCATGTACGTCATGTACGTAATTTATGTAGTATTTGGAATGTACGCAACGTATGTAATTGGGTGTAATTTAATGTACCTAGCCCATGTAATGCCGTGTGAGGCTGCATGGATACATTCGGATAGATGGACAGATGCGTGCATCATTCTTCTGAAGCAGCAGCACACAGTGATCGATGCAGACAAGTCTCGTTGGACACGCACCACCAGTAAAGATTGTAGGTGGCAACCGTCACTTTGGAGCCCGAGCACCCCATGGCGGAAAAGCAACCGGAAAGCTTGGTCTGCACCCTAAGGCAAACTCGTCAACAAACACTCTGAATGGTCCTGCACAACAACTAGACGTCTGAAGCGTCCAACTGAATCTGTCCAGGAGCGTGCAAGAAACACACAGCCGGAGTGGCAAGCAGCACGACGGCATTTAACAATCCCTCGGCTCAGAGGTACAACTGGGGATGAGGAAGTCTGCATAGACTTCCGTGGGTTCACTTGGGCATGTTGCTTCCTGTGGAATGCAACTACAAAGCTTCAGCTTCAAGTCCACAACAAAATGCCGATCAGATCTGCAGCAAGGGCGCCGTCGGGCGAGACCTCCCAGCAGCAGTTCTCCCAAAAGACTGGGAGTTCATGGGCGCATGCGTCGACAGTGCTGGCTTCAGACTGTCACTGACTGGACATTATAGCACGAGCCCCACAAACATCTGACGATCACCCTCGCAAGAATCGGCCCTGCGTCAGGAGTACGGCCTAAGACCACTAGCGGGGTGCTTCACAAGACGAAGGATACCAGTCCAAGTGGAATCTCTCTTGGAACCGCAGCACCGAACAAACGTTTGTGCATTTGCACAGCCTTCGGTAGCTGGCGAGCGCAGGTACGGCTGCACCACCCAGGAGGACCTGCGAAAAATGCAAGACTTGGCTTGGGCTTCTTCGATGTCTCAGACTTCGGTTCGGGCCAGAATCGAGCGCATCTTGGTCTCGAGCCTTTCTGTCTGCACGGAGCACAACGAAATCTCCAATAACTCCCGTCGCAACCAACAGTCGCGAACACAATCACAAAGTTGTGAACCTCGGGACCCCTAAGTGCCCGTGTCCGCACCGACACCAGCGCCCGTGGCGAACACGCGCTGCGTGGTGGGTCGCTGTGCCGCGCAGGCACAGGCGGAGGAGCATTCAATGACGGAGACAGGGCGGCAAGCATGGCTGACAAAGGGGAGGAGGAAGCGTTGAAGAGACTCTTCGCACTGACTTTGGCGTTGTATTTCACGCTTGCAAGGAAGAATCTGGGGAGAAATTGTGTCAAATGATGTGGAAGCAGTTGCTACTCCTCGTTGCCGCCTTCATCCATACAGGGGCTGGTGCATGGCTCAAGCCGCTCTGAGCCCACAGGACAGCAAGGCATCTGCTTATCGACTGGTGCCCTGCAGTGCCCAATGCCGGCAAGGACACATGTGAAGGGGGCTTGGGCTTACACGCCGGGGTGCTGAGATGCTTCGTGCTGCTAAGTTCACTCAGCCCCTGAAAGGATTGGGACGAGAAGCACTGGCAATAACCGAACCTCTCTCTGCGAAGCGTGCGCCAGAGTCGTGGTGAGGCCCGGGTCACTTCGGGTGGAGTGCAAAGGGCAAGGCGTGCAGAAGGCTTCCCACTCCTGCTTCCGGGAGAGCTCGGAGAGGGCGCTCCTTACGTCTCCAGCAAGGGGATTTCCGGTTGCGGTCTTTGCGGCTCGGAGGATGGCTGATGGAGGGACTTAACAGATCCTTCTTCACTGTGTTGCTCTGGGACAAATGGATTTAGTCAAGCATGTCGGTATGTAGTGTAAAGGTAAGCCTTCGTCAAATCCAAGCTTCACATCAGCTGCTTCACATCATACCACCAAGAGTATCAACGATCATGATCCAAATCGCCGCAAGAACCATTGCGTGATTCTTTGCTCCCATCGATCGAATAACTTCGAACTTTGAAGCTCTTGCCGGAAGCCCTACGTTCCCCGACACCTGGAAGCCACAAAATCCTCAGTGTTTTGAGCTCTGCACTGCAGGTCCAGCTTTAGCTGGACATTCTGGGCCTCGGGGGACGGGCCAGGCGAGAAGATCGTGGTGTGCGGCATGATGATAATAATAATAAGAAGAAGAAGAATAGTAAGAATAATAAGAATAATAATAATAGTAGTAGTAGCAATAAAAGGATTAATAGTCATAAAATTAATAGTACTAATAATCATAGTAATAAGGGGGAGTTGAGGCCCTCGCACATCAAAGTTGACGAGGCGATAGCTGAACATTAGCGGACTTGTACGGCAAAGCTTTCCGAGGCGAACCACTGGGCTCTGGGCCAGCACAGACTCGTAGGAGGCGGGGTCAGCACCTATGGCCGTGACTGTGCACGTAGCGTTTCTTAGGTCACAGCATGTACACCCGGCCGCCAAACACAAACTACGTGTTTGCAAACTCCGGGAACGGTAACAAGACAAATTATTTGGATGCAAGTCGCTTCTTCGACCCCCCAACTTTCACTGGAATGCCACATGGAAATGGGGAGAGCCTGCAAATGTAAGTGATGCTCAAAAGTCGCCCTAAGTCAGGGCAACCCTCAACAGAAAACCCGGTCAGAGCGCCTTCCATCAGCATGCTCTGCCCAAGCCAGGAGGCCAGGGCCGAAGATGCACTACCGCTGCTCGCTGCAACGCTAAGGACTTTGGTTCCGGGCTTGGGATTTAAGACCCCAAGTTCAAGTTCCCCTTCAGCCATATCAGTGGACCAACACCGTACCGCCAGCCCCAGTGAAGGTACACTTCTTGGGGTGCCTAGTCGCTGCAGTGCTCGTCTCTCCACCATGTGACGGGCTCTACACATGGCTGGTCTCGAGCCACAAGTCAAAGCAGGAACAAGGTCCAGCATCAAATACATGGAGCGGGTGGGTTCTAGAGCCCATGCTCAAAGGTCCTTGTTGTGAGAGTGGGCGTATGCTTTCCGTTTCCCGGAACAGGACTTGGCTCTCGGCTTGCGACGAAGCCTGATGGCTCACCATCCACTCTCCGATGTATCGAACCTAAGTCTGGCCTCTGATCGACAAACATTTCTGGTCATGCACAGTTTCGAGGGCACTAGAAGATACTAGAATCACTCGAAGACTAGAAGCACTGCGCCCGAAGCAGCCCTTTCCTGTGGCAAGCGAAGCCAAAACTTCCGAAGTTTCCTGGTGAGGGCATCGGAACCCTTTTCCTCCTTCTCTGCTCAGGAACAGCAGTATTGAGTTTGACGTCGAGCAGGTCCTACCTAGCTTGTCACCTTTGGCGACTCGTAAGACTCTGCACGGCGGTCGCGCCGAGAAACAGCGGCAGCGGAGCCAAGCCGCACCCCTCTTCCGGCAAAAGCCGAGGCCACGCAGCATGCGAACAAAGACAAAGAAAACCGTTCCAACCATTCAACTGCCTGACCCACCAAAAAGATCAAAGATCTAAACCCTTCAGGCACAGCTGTACGGCCACAAGATTCGGAGTCAGAAAGTTGATTCTGCTTTGCCAGTTGGCAACACGAACCACTACGGCAAGCTAAAGCACACTGGGTCTTAGCCGGGAGTGTCGCACTGGGCCCCATACGTCTACCTTCATTTTCCTACCGTCTATCTTGGAGTCCTGAGTTCAAACAAACGGAAATGCTCCAAGCTTGACTAAGGACCAGTGGCGCTCGGGTTGATGCCAAGAGCCTTCAACCCAAGGCGCGGCTATCTAGATAGCTGAAAACATGCAAAAGCTCCCATGGGAAAACTTAGTGCCTTAAAACAGTGTAGGCCTGAAACGTCGTCGACGGAGTGCAATGCTTGGCCTTTCAGCCCTGGGCGACAAGAACCCACACCTGCTTGAAATTGCACTCCACCGACGTTTGGAGAGAATGGCCTGTGCTTTCGAGGCACGGTTCTTCGGAAAGGCCCCCAGAGCCTTTGCCGTGAACGAATACTAAACGTTGCGACAGACCTCCACACACATGAGGGCAATTCTCTGTATACGGTCCCTGTTTAGGTCCCAGAAACGGTACGGCACCCTCATAAAAAAGAACCCTTAAAAACCCAAGAGAAATACCCATAAAGCTTCCTCAAATTCACCCGATACTCTCTTCGCTGCCTTGGAGGCATGTCGACGCTCTACGGAAAATTCACCAAATTATGGGCTGCCCTCGGCTTACAAGGAGCTCTTCTCCTCCTCCTTGGGCTGCTCCGTCTTCTCCAGCTTGCTGACCTGTCTAAGATGCCGCAGGGATCGACGAAGACAGGGTCGCACTTCCGAAAGCCTAAAGCCACCACACGGATGCGTAGCACATGAAGGACTTCAAGCTTGGGACTCATCGCGCTTGGCTGGACATTCAAGCTTCTGCTAATTACAAGCAACAGCGACATCGAACTCGCATCCAAAAGAACACGGGGATGGGGTCGTCGTGCTGCACCTGGCTTTCTCGGCCTTCTGCTCCTGTCATTTCGCCTTGCAACCCTCCAAAAACATCCATAAACCTTTCTACGCAGGATCGACAATCTGCAACCTGAAGACCCAGCAAAGCTGCGTGGCATGCAGCATGCATCATTGAATCTCCCGACCTAACTCAGCTGTCTGGTGCCTAGCAGGGAAGGGGGGAATGGATCCCTATAGCAGTCCCTATATGGTCCCCAGTATAGGAGTGTCCATAATCCATTCCCCCATTCCCTACTAAGAACCACACAACTACTGGAGATACCCTAAGACCCCTTATAGAACCCTTATAGAACCCTGATAGAACCCTTATAGGACCCTTTAAAGGAACCGCACAGCTTGCCGGCCTCCTCCACGGCCTCCTTCTGGGCTTGGGGGTTTTGGGCCGGGCCCGGAGTGTGGGGCTACGGTTTCAGGGGTTCCGGGTCGGGCCCGCATTCTGCGGTTGTCGAATATGACGATGATGATTTCGACTGCAACGGGGACGTTGATGACAAGGACGAAAGTTGAAGATGTCTCGACAGATGCAGTTGCAACAATCATGGTGCTGCAGAGTACTTGGACCCGACTCTAAGCTTTCCATCCGGTCCATCTAGTGCATAGAATTTCTTCCGTCCCAAGTCGGGCTCCGGCAGCATTTGCGAGTTTCCCAAAATAGGCGCGTACCCTATCTGGGGGGCCTGTAATTATAACTACTAACTACTTAGGGTACTATATCAGGGTCTCTAGGGGGTGCTACGATTTAGGGTATACCATACTAGGGTTTAGAGCCCCTGATTTTCCGAAGCCCTCACT